AAAAGCATACACTGGATAAAAGCACCCCTATGCAAAAAATGGGGCTGGGAGAACTGGATAATCACATGTGAAAGACTGAAACTGGACCCACACCTTTCACCACTTAGAAGAATTGACTCAAGATGGAGAAAAGATTGAAATCTAAGACATAAAACAATAAGAATTTTTGAAGGAAGTATGGGAAAAACTCTTGAGTTATGGCCTGGGGAAAGATTTATGAAGACTTCTCTGGCAATTGCAACAACAAAAATTAACAAATAAGACTTAGTTAAACTGAAAAGGTTTTGCACATTTAAGGACATGATAATTAAAGTAAATACACAATCTTCATATTGGGGAGAGATGTTTGCATATTATGAATCTGCCAAAGGCTTAATAACTAGGATCTATAGACAACTGAAATTAATCAACAAAAAAGAGCAAATAGTCCCATGTATGGTTGGGCACCAAGGGCACGAACAGCACTTTCGCTAAGGAAGATAGACAGATGGCTAACAAACATGAAAAAATGCTCATCATCCCTAATCATCAGAGAAATGAAAATCAAAACCACCCTGAGGTATTACCTAACCCCAGTAAGATTAGCCCACATCACAAAGTCTCAGAGTTGTAGACTCTTGCATGGGTGTGGAGAGAGAGGAACACTTTACACTGTTGGTGGGACTGCAAAGTAATACAGCCTCTTTGGGATGAAGTATGAAGAATCCTCAAAGAATTTAAATTAGACCTCCCATTTGACCCCACAATCCTACCTGCAGGCATGTATGGAAGAAAGAAAATTATTTCATTATAAAGCATTTGCACTAGAATGTTTTTTGAGGGTCAATTTATAATCATCAAGATGTGGAAACCACCAATTGCTCATCAACTCAGGAATGGATTAATAACCTGTGGTATATGTATACCATGGAATACTATTTAGCCATAGAAAAAGATGGAATCTTTACATCTTTTTTATTAACCTACATGGAGTTGAAACACATTCTTTTTAGGAAAGTATCACAAGAATGGAAAAGCAAATACTTAATGTACTCAATTTTATTATGAAGCCAGTAGATGATCTAACAGATGCCCACATAGGAGAAAAACTTAATTCAGTCAAGTTGGGAAGGGGGAGGAAATGAAGGAGTGGGGATAGGTGATAGTGGGGGAGGGGATATTGGTGTGCTTTCACTTACAGGTCACAAGGTTAAGGGTGTATGGCACACCTTTGGGTGTGGGACACAATTACAAGAGGGACTCTACCTAAAAATTCAAAAATTGTGACTTGTTGTTTGTACTCTCATAATAACCTGAAATTAAAAAAAATTATCCTCATATTACAAATAATGAAATTGAGACACAGTAAAAAAAAAAAAAAAAGAGATCACAGTGAGTGGAACTTCTAGGGGAACATAAGATTAAGTTTTTCAACTGCCTGAAAGGAAGGCCACATAGAATAGCAACGTGAGCCAGAGAGTTGGTGCTTGAATCAGCAGGACCTGAGTTCAAACCTGTTGAACTTTCCTATCCTTAAAATGAAATTAACAATGGGACCTGCCTGTTCTTGTTCTTGTGAGAAACAAATGAGATAAAGCATGCAAACTCACCTGTCATGGGATGTCCGTGCTACCTATGTGTTCCTCAAAGTCAACCATAGTATTATAACCATTAGCATATTATTAAATACAGTGTGTTCAGTAGATAGGATTATTGACATTTGCATAGCTATATATGTTTTGTTGTTTTATATGCAATCACTTTGTAAATAAAACATAACATCAATCTTATTAATACTTCCTTTGAACTACTCTCATATGGCACACAAAACTCCACAACAATAATGAATGCCACTGACAAAGACACTTCCATGTGTTGATATGAATGTAGCTGTGAGACACTGATATACCATGGCTATGACACTTTATTGAGTTGTTTGTACAGTGCTACCAATCTAAGTGTTTGGTGGCAAGTTCTTGAACTTAATTGTTAGATCTTATACAATGACAGCTCTGATGATTCCAGACCTTTTCCAGAAAAAAGGTCCAGACCTTTTCCAGAAAAAAGTGAATGACACACTGGCATTGGTGTGAACTTAATGTTAGACTTTATACAATGACAGTTCTTAATTGTTTGACCTTATACAATGAACTTAATTGTTAGACCTTATACAATGACAGCTCTTAATTGTTTGACTTTATACAATGAACTTAATTGTTAGAACTTATGCAAGGACAGCTCTGATGATTCCAGACCTATTCCAGAAAAAAGTTCCAAAATTGCTTTGAAGGGTGAATGACGCACTGGCGTTGGTGTATACTTTCTCATGGTTTTCAGGAGGAATACCTGAAAGGGGACTACAGTGATAATCCAGCAAGGAGGTATGCAGCACTTTTTGTAGGATGAGTTCATGAGCTTAATTGTCAGACCTAATATATCCAACCTGATACTAGAGGTCTTTGCCAGGGCAATGACATAAAGAAAAGACATAAAATTTATTAAAATTGGAAAAATAAAACTGTCTTTAAAGTTTGGTAAATAGAAAATGTAAAACAATCTATAATTAAAATATTAGAAATAATAAAGAATTTTAATAAGCAAACCAGTAGCTTTTCTATATCCCAGCAAAAACTAAGAACATATAAAATTTAAAACAATGTCATTTGCAGTAACAGCCATACACGTGAACTACCTAGAAACATTTCTAAAAAAAATCTGCAAGAACTCTACATAAAAGATTTTAATACATTACAGAGAAAAATTAAATAAATGAGGTATGAATAAACAGAAGGACATACCATGTTCACTTATTGGTAAACTCTTTATTTTTAAGTTATAAATTCTTTTCAGTATGATCTACAGTTTCAACACAATCTCAGTAAAATTGTGGAGAATTTTTGTCACAACTGGTAAGTGGGTTAAAAAGTAGACATTCAAAGCACCTGAATTTTTCAAGGCAATATTGATTAAGAGAAGAGCTAAGTTGGAGGACTTACCTTATCAGAAATAAAGACTTATTATCAAGCTCTGATGATTCTCAAAGTCTGGCATTGGTAAGCAAATAAATAGAAAAATAAACCCATGAAGTTCAACAGAGGGGTCAGAGACAGACATGTGCACACATTTTCATCTGTTGTTTGAAAAAGTCTCCACCACAATTGAGTTGGGAAACCAATAATTTTTTAAATAAATGGAGCTTGGTTA